CAGCGGGAGCATAATACTCGGTTGGAAGCTATGATGAGAAACATGCAACCCATCGCAGTATGTGCCGCCCCAATCCAACAAGGACTGGCCCCGACACCTGTTCTCGAAGGAGGCACAGACAATCTGAACGTCTATCATGCATGCCATCAACCGGGGCATCTAGCTCAAGATTGCCCTTACCGGCCCCCGCAACAGCGAGTCGGAGCCGCGCCAGTAGCTGCAACCCCCATCGCTAACAGACCTGGACGGGTAGGAGCCCTGATGGAAGAAATGGAGGGAGGAGGAAGTGCGCTAGCTACCTCAGAGGAGGCTACTCAGCTCATTCCATTAGATCAGTATGTATCACTTGGGTATCTGGGGCTTGGAATGATTGGAACGATCAGACCTGCGCCGGAACAGAAAGAAGTGACAGGAGAGATGGATTCGGGAGGACCCACCTTCGTCACTGGAGAAATCGATGTGCTGAACATCATCCGAGCCTTGGACCATCGGATTCCACTTCCGATTGGTCATTTGCTCTCAATCTCTGAACAAGCCAATGAGCGAATGCTACAGCACTGTAAGGCGAACCGAAAGCGATTCGCCTTCGCCCGAACAACGAATGCGAAAGCTAAAACCCCCATGCCAAACGAAAATGCAGCTGGCACTTCGGATCCGATACGGGTAGGATTAATCCAGAAAGACGATCATTTCCTACGGATTAAACCCATCCCTTGTAAATCTGCGGAATGCGACATTGAGATATGGGGAATTCCGTACAATGCAATCATAGATTCGGGAGCTGTTGTTTTGACTATTTCGCTACGAGTAACTGGGAGGGCGGGTAGGAGAAACGATCTAATCGTGCTTACGGAAAAGGATCAGCTCGTTTCGGCAGACGAAGAGAAGATCAAAACAGTGGGATGAATTACCAACGTCGCTTTTCGATTAGGAAAGGTGCATGCGTTGGGAGATGTCGTGGTATTAGACGTAAACACCTACGATGTCCTTTTCGGCCTTCCCGCTCTTGTGGCGTTACGAGCAAATCTGGACTTCGAGCGACGATCCATTATCCTCTGAAATACGGGAGGAAAACCCTATGTTGTACCTATGAGGCTGACTCTTCGTACTACCACCAACGTCGTCCCGCGAGTTTCTCCGATGATAGCGAGAACTCTTCGTATGATCACCTGGGAAAACTCTGCAGACGAAGAGCCATCATCGAAGGATGCGGATAGCAGTGACGAAAATGATCCGGTAATTCTGGAACTAGCACGACAGCGCATTTATTACCCGCCACCCAGAACGATCGCAACAACGATGCATCTAACTAGTCGGAGTGTGCAAAGGACCCAGACAATGATTTTGGGTGAACCCCTCGTACAGATCTCAAGGATGGTCGATTCTCTGGAACCCCCTCAGACCCTGTATGAGGGAACGACCCCTCTTCTCGCACGATACAACGACAAGAGATCTTTTTGCGACATCACGGGCCTACCGCGATCTTTGTTTCCACCCGCCAAAGAAGTACGATTGTTACGCTTGGGGGCGGAGGCCAGTTCTTTGGAACCCCTTGGGCATTTCGAGGCAGAATCAGGCGGGCTCGAAATTAAGATCGCAACTAAACCCGTACCGTGGCACGATATCTGCGATGGAATCACCCCGAAAGGACGCGTGGCCATCCGGGAGGAAGACGCCCAGATGATGGCTACGGTGTTCTCCTGGCGATCGGACCATTCGTTTAGCTCTGCGCCACCACCCGAGGCGGCGAAACAAGCACGCACGAAGCAGATCGACGTACGGATCTGGGATCAGCCTTATGAATTGCACGTTCCGCAGTACATACCTGATGGGATTCATTGTTTGATTGCGGACATTCTGATGGAATATCAGGGAGCGATTAGTGTAACGGACACTGACATCGGCTTGTCGTTGGTCATACAACACGAGATCTAGACATGAAACCATCCCCCGGTCCATTGCAAACCCTACGGATACTCCCTAACTGAACGAAGGACAACCTCGCAATGAATTAGGGAATTTGAAGTTAATGGATGGATTGAACCGGCTACGGGACCGTGGTCTTTTTCCGTAGTAGTGGTGCCGAAGAAGAACGGATCGGTCCGCATATGCATCGATTATCGCAAACTGAATGACATCACGATTAAAGATGTGTATCCCCTCCCCCGGATTGATGATTTGCTGGATGCGATTGGATGTGCAGATTATTTCAGCAAGTTTGATATTCGACATGGCTTCCATCACATTCCAGTTAAGGAGGAAGATCGGCCGAAAACGGCCTTCGTGTTGTTCGAAGGCACGTGGCAGTGGGTTCGATGTCCGATGGGAATTTGTAACGCGCCTGCCACGTTTCAACGAGCAATGAACGTGACGTTCTAGAACTTCGTCAACAAGACACAATTGACGCAGGGGATGATCAACTTCTGCGTCATCGTGTACATGGACGGCATCCTAGTTTATTCAGAGACCTATCACCGCCATGCGCAGCATATCGAGTGGACACTGGGCGCCTTGCGAGACGTCGGATTCAAGATTGCACTCGAGAAGAGCGAATTTTTCCTCTCGAAAATTTCGTTCTTGGGGTACGTAGTGACACGTGGAGGGCTGCGGCCGGATTCAAGGAAAGTTGCGGCCGTAAAAGAAGCCCCAGTTCCCACGTCGCTGAAGCAAGTTCGAGCCTTCTTAGGCGTGACATCGTACTACCGTCATTTTATCAAAGGTTTTGTGGCGATTGCTCGGCCCCTCACGAACCTGCTTCGGAAGGACCAGCCTCTGCAGTGGGACTCTGAGTGCGAGCAAGCCTTTGACACACTCAAGGAGGCCCTGGCCACCGCACCAATTTTGATCCGACCGGACCCTACCAAACAATTCATTCTTATAACGGACTGGCAACCGGAAGCGATCTCCGCCATTCTAGCGCAGAAGGGGAACGATGGTCGCAAACACGTCATCGAGTAGTCTGGGGAATCCAACACTTCCATCCGTATCTCTACGGACAGAAGTTCTGCCTCGTGACGGATCATGAGCCCCTGCTGGCCTTGAAGAAGCTCACTAATTACACCGGCATGATTGGTCGATGGGCGGTACGTCTGCAGGAGTACGACTTTGACATCATCCATCGAAAGACAGAAAGACACGGCAACGTGGACGGGCTGACACGTCTGCATCGACCAGCTAAAGTGCCTAAGGCAGAAGAGATCGTCCCGTGGAAGGAACCGGAGTCAGTAAACGGGCCCAAGCACGGACAAGTGGCTGTTCTCCCTCGTGGCAAGAAGCAGGCGGGTGGCAATGCATGACGGAGCTAATCCTACACCTCCTCTCTCTCCCCTCTGCTCTTCATCTCTTCTCTCCCTGCCTGATAAATTTTGTTATTTTTGTGAAGTAATTTCTCGTGTATACTCGGTCTCTATGTGCCCTAGCAGAGAAGGATATGCGGAATGGGTAGATTGTCGACAATGCGTCGCACGAGCCCACGGCTCGTGCTTCCAGTACAGAAATGACAATAAGCCCTGGATGTGCCCCTTGTGTCGGGTTGATAATATCCCGATCGAGGCTCGCTTTCTAGACGCCATGTCAGAAGGGCTGGAAAAGACCCGGAGGTTTAAAAGGGCCGAAGTATGGGCAGATACCGCCTTGATTGCTACTTTAGTGGGTAACCCCCTCCAGGACTTCACCAAGGAAGATCGGAGGAGGGCCAATGAAAGGGCTCGGGACTACCGCTGGAATGAGGGACGATTGGAA